TTGGTTGATTTAATAAGATTGTTTTTATAACCTCATTATATCGCGACAACCACATGAACATGCCGTTGTCGAAAGAAGAGGCCATCGCCAAACTGATCTTCAATTTCTCGGCGAATTCTCGTAAGGCTGGGAAGCAGAAGAAAACCAAGGGATTCCTCATCGCCAGAAGAAATTTGCTCGTAGATTACTGGAAAAAATATAACGCACTTCGCGATGATATTTCTTCAATGGACGCTTCAACTGATGAGGCCGCGGTTAAAAAGACACTGTCAGAGGAGCGATATACGGCAATCGAATCGGCAATGGATGCATTCTCTCAAAAGTAGCTTGCAAGGTGAAGCTGAAGCTATGCTTCGAAATTTAAATGTAATGGAAGATAATTTCCAAATTGCTTGGGATATATTGCAAAAGCGATACGACAATAAACGCCGCAGAAAAACGCCAAGTGCAAAACTTGATGTGGTTACAAACTTTAAGCTTTGCCGAAACTGTCTTAAGGCACGCCACACAGCAAGTGATTGTGCCTCGACATACGCATGCCAAAAGTGTATGCAGAAACACCATACAATTCTTCACGACAGTTTATCATCTTTGTCCAGCACTACTAGTCTACGCCTTACATGCACCACCAGCATGGCTCAGCAAAAACCCATCGACGCAACAACAGCAACACTTGCGCCAGCTCTATTAGCAACAGCGCGAATTGGTGTGCGGTCCTCTTCCGGGCATTTTATGAAACTTCGAGCCCTTTTGGACAATGGCTCGCAAACATCTTTTATAAGCGAGTTTGCCGTTCAGCGCTTGCATCTACGCAAGAACCGCCTTTCGGTTACAATCTCTGGAGTAGGCGGGAGTACTGTGGGTGAATCGAAGAGTTTGGTTAAGTTCACAGTGTGTTCCCTCATCGAACCTAATTTCAGCATGGAGTGCTCTGCTCTCGTGCTTTCTCGTGTAGGACAGAATATGCCATCGAATAGAATTGACCCAACTCCGTAAAGTGACTTTCTTGGTCTCAGCTTAGCAGACCCGAAGTTTTACGAGCCAGGGTCAATCGACATCATCATCGGAGCAGATATCTATGGCGCTCTACTGCGCAACGAACTCAAGCATTCCAAGTGCGGGGACTCCACTGCCCAAAATACACATCTCCATCCAAGATGACAGAGAATGAGATTTATTGTGAGGAGTTTTTTAAACGAACGGTACGCAGGGACCACGTCGGTCGGTATCACATTCGGTACCCATTTAAAGAGGACTCCGACTTATCCGCACTATCTGACTCCAAATGCGACGCATTCAAACTATATGCTTGCCAGCAACATCGTCTTCAACGCGATGCAAAGATGAACGAGTTATACAATGAGTTCATGGACGAATATATCGCTCTTGGCCACATGGAGCAGATATGCGAAGATAAGGAGCCATGGTATGCATGTTACATTCCCCACCATGGTGTATACAAAGAAGGAAGCTCGACTACGAGGTTAAGAACTGTATTCAATGGGTCTAGAAAATACAAAAGTGGTTTATCTTTCAATGATTGCCTTCATGTTGGACCTAAGCTGCAAAATGACTTAAGTACAATCATATTAAAGTGGAGAATGCATCGGGTTGGATTCATGGCGGATATTGAGAAGTGCTTTCGACAAATACGAGTCGATCGGCGGGATACCGATATGCAACGCATTATATGGAGAGGCGGAGATGAACAGCCGACCGCTTATCGACTCCTCACAGTGACCTATGGGTTAGCATGCTCTCCGTATATAACAATTAAAGTTCTGAACACCCTAGCCGAAGACGAGGAAACAGATTTTCCAACAGCGTCCAAAATTCTTAAGGAATCTTTTTATGTGGATGATTGCCTCCATGGCGGTGACACAGTCGAAGAAGCTATCGACAATCAATCTAAATTACGACAGTTACTGCATCGTGGGTGCTTCAACCTTCGCAAATGGAGCTCGAATTCCAACGAGTTTATGCAACATCTCTCCTCCGACGACATACAACCAGATACCTGCTGCAACTTAAATTTGGATCGGGAGACTAAGGCGCTTGGAATCTATTGGCTCTGTGACACTGATAGCCTGACATACAAAGTCAATATTACACCTGTGTCTGAATTCATTACCAAACGCCAACAACTTTCCGATGTGGCAAAAATATACGATCCCCCAGGTTTTTTAGCACCAATTGTCATAACCGGCAAGTCGCTTTGTTAGCAGCTTTGGATTTCAGGCTGCAATTGGGATGATCCGCTTCCAAACCCGATGCAGGATGAATGGCGACGATTTCGGGAAGAGCTTCATAAAGTTCAAAATCTCCGGGTTCCCAGGTGGATAGGCGTTACACCGGCAGTTGACAACTTTCAACTGCATGTTTTCTATGACGCATCAACTTTAGCGTATGCCGCTGTTGCATATCTTCGCGTGGAAACAACAGACAGTGTATGTAGGGTGACCATTCTCACAGCTAAAACGAAGGTTGCTCCAATAAAAAAAATTACTGTGCCCTGCTTGGAGTTGAATGGGGCTCTTTTGGCATCGAAGCTTGCGGCTAAACTCATTGAAACTATGCAACTTCCACTCAGTAAAATTTACTGTTGGTCAGACTCAAAAACAACTCTCAGTTGGATTCGTTCGCGGCCGGGTCAGTACAAGCAATACGTCAGCAATCGAATTTCTCAAATTCAGGAACTGATACCCATTGACTCATGGAGATACGTCCCAACTAAGGCTAATCCGGCAGACATTGCATCACGCGGAGTATTTCCATCGCAACTTGCCAATTTAGCAATGTGGTGGAACGGGCCCGATTGGCTGCATCATGGCGAAGATAAGTGGCCACAGCAGAATGTCATCACTGCATCTTCGAATCTTGAAGTCATAACATCACTAGCAACAACCGAACCGCAACAGACATATTCGCTAGCTACGCATTTACTAGAAAAATATTCGAAAATCAACACTCTGCTGGCAGTGACACCTTGGTGTCGTCGATTCATTGCGGCACGCCTAAAACAACCTCATGATCGGACATCGTGGTGTACGGCAGCAGAAAGAGCTGAGGCACTACAGTTTTGGATCAGGTATGTTCAAACTATTCACTTTACTAATGAAGTTGCGTGTCTTCGTTGCAGTAAGCCATTAAGTCGTAGGAGCAAGCTACTTAAGCTTAACCCGATGATAGACGAAGACGGACTTATAAGACTCAATGGGCGCCTTAAAAATGCGACCATACCAATATACGAACGTTTTCCCGTCATATTGCCAAAGGACAACGCCTTGTGCACATTGTTAATAGCTCAAGCCCATGAGTGTACCATGCATGGAGGAGTTCAATCAACACTTAATTTTTTAAGACGACGATACTGGATTATCGACTCTCGTTCGGCTGTCAAGCGTTATATCCACAGCTGTGTTCGTTGTATTAGACATCGTAGCACTGATGCAACGCAAATTATGGGTAGCCTTCCTGCGCCGCGCTGCAATATTTCAAGAGCCTTCAGTCACTGTGGGTTGGACTACGGCGGTCCTTATTCTATTCGTACTACGAAAGGCAGAGGTCACCACAGCTACAAAGGCTACGTAGCTCTCTTTGTTTGCTGTAGTACGCGAGCCGTTCATTTGGAACTCGTTAGCGACATGAGTACTGAAACGTTTCTCGCTGCGCTACGCCGATTTTTTTCTCTGCGTGGATATAGCTCTGACATATATAGTGATTGTGCTACGACTTTCGTTGGTGCGAATGCAGAGTTAAGAGAACACCACGCTGCATTGCGAAAGCAACTTGAAACAGCAGCTAGTGCTATGAGTACTCGAGGTGTTTCGTGGCACTTTATACCTGCAGGGTCTCCGAATTTTGGAGGTATATGGGAGGCCGGCATCAAAAGCACAAAACATCATTTAAAACGCACAATAGGTAGCGCAACGCTGACGTTCGAAGAATTCTACACGGTGCTAAAGCAAATCGAAGCGGTGCTTAACTCAAGGCCGCTGTGTGCTTTGACTGATGATCCGAACGACCTATCGGCACTCACCCCTGGGCACGTTTTGGTGGGCGGGCCCATTTTAGCTACACCCGAACCTAGCCTACTCGAAGTTGATACAAGCAGACTCAAAAGGTGGAAACAAGTTCAAAAAATGCAGCAAGATTTTTGGAAGCGATGGAGTTATGAATATTTACGAGAACTACAAGTCAGGCATAAATGGTTTCAACGCAAAGACAATCTGAAGGTTGGCAATTTGGTGCTGTTACGCGATGAGCGTGCTCCTCCTACTCATTGGCCGCTTGGACGCATAATTGAAGTTCATCCAGGCGACGATGGTGTCGTTCGAGTAGCAACTATACGCACAGCGTCGTCTGTTTTAAAACGTGCTATTTCGAAGTTGATTGTACTCCCAATTGAAGATGAAGGGACGCATATGGTGGGCGGCCATTCCTCTGAAATTTCGTCGCAGCAAGTGGACGAGGTGGGCGGAATGTTACGGAGGAATGCAACTCTGCGTTGATATAACCATGCACTAATGTTCCAATGCCATATGTCAATCGCTTTATTGCTTTTTCTTTTCCTTTTTTTTTCTCGCTCTTTTCATACAGATCTCAGCGACAGCGAACGTGTTCATATTTCGACCTCTTAATAAAATTTGTAATTTG